AAAACATCAAACAAAAAATAAGTTTTTTTCAGTTTTTTTTTATTACTGTGTAGAAAAGACCCCATATGGACATATGACATGACTAAATTTCTTTATTGTATCAAAATTGGGGGGTGGGGGTGTGCCCGGGCATGATCGCTTACCCGGACAAACTACAGTTTGAGAATCATGGTGTTTTGTAAGATTTATATGTTTACTAATTAGCTCATCTGCCTAAGTGCCAATATTAGTATTAAAGATGCAATTTTTGAGAATCATGGTGTTTTGTAAGATTTATATGCTTACTAATTAGCTCATCTGCATAAGTGCCAATATTGGTATTAAAGATGCAATTTTGTGGGGGAAAAAAACAACAGTTTTTAATGTACACTTCAGTGTTTAACATTGAGATCATATTTATCAGGTTGAACATCTTCAAAGAAACAGTGATATTTATGAAATATGTGACATTACGGACGAAGATAGGGAACGAGTACACTGCACAGGTGGTAGAAAAAATGACATCTATTCAAGAAAAGGTAAATGACTTTCAGCTTTAATAAATTAAGTATGTTTATTTCGGTCATAATAGTCTTCATTTTTGAAAGTGTATGATCGCTGTTTACAATGTCTTGAAAATTTAAAAAATGCAAAACGTCGACCAAAAAAAAAATACCCATGACAAAAGAAGCTCTGCTACAAATTTACTCTGATCAATCATCCACCATAGAGTCCGGTCAGTCAAAATGACTATTTTGAACTGTTGGCATTAATCTGCGATTCAGACAATGACGGAGAAATAAATCGAGGTCAGGGGGGGGGCCCATGACCTCAAGATTTTCTCTCGCTTCACGAACCACGTGACCGAGGCCATGAGGCATAGCCATATGGCTAAATACATCACTTTTGTTTCATGTATGCGCTGTGCGGATGAAACTATGCCGTCTAGCCTGGAAACCTGCTTTTTCCTGTTCAAGTTTTAGCTGGGATTGCTGTCACTAACACGGCAGCCGACACCGTCGCTGGTGGGATAAGTTTTTCTTATTTTCACCCCTGTGCCCCCTTTGTGTATGTATATTTTTTAGCACAAAAAAAAAACCGACGACACAAATTTGACCATTGTTTGTTTTCTTCGTGTCAGCTTTCTACTGTAATTCGTCTCCCCAAGCATGTCATGTTCCTTCTAGCACACGTCCTTTTAAGGTGGCTCCACCTCCAGAACACGGAGTGGCAGATACTCCAGTGGGTAGCCTCCAGACTGTTTTGGCTGTGGGACGGTCCAAAGACCTGTTTGTCACACCCTGGAACGCCAAGCTCTCGTCACACATAACACTCTTGCTGGCTCCAGGAGCCTGGACCAGGGACGCCTTGTCGATCCCGTGATGTGTACGCCTTTCCTCCCTACCCGCTTGTGCACCGGGTACCGGAGAAAACTTCAACAGGTGCACACCTGCATATTGACACTGGTCGCACCCAATTGGCCAACCATGGCTTGGTTTCCACTTCTGTTGAAAATGCTAGTCGAAACACCAGTAGTCCTTCTGGGCTTACCAGACCTGCCAGCACTACCAATGAGCCCAGCGGTGTATCACTTACATGCATAGAGGCTCTCATTGGACTCGCACAGACGAAAGTCTTGTCTGGGCGGGCTGCCAACGTCCTGGCCAGAGCGAACAGGAATTCCACCAACGCTGCCTACAACTCAAAGTGGCAAGCATACACTGATTGATGTAGTGGAAGGGAGATTATTCAGAGTTTAACAGAATTTGATCGTCGCATTTAGGTAATTATATTTTCACAAATAAAAACCTGAAGCCATATTTTACCATAACATGTATTTTATGGACCAACGATTTCCTTTCCCAAGCCATAAAAACCCATATTGTCTGGCAGAATACTTATTCCTTCTGAAACCATAAAGTACCATATTTTGTGGTCCTGAGGTCATGATAAAATAAACGTGTATTCCCCAAACCATATTTGACCATAACATGGTATTTTATGGACCAACGATTTCCTTTCCAAAGCCATAAAAACCCATATTATCTGGCTGAGAACTTATTCCTTCTGAAACCATAAAGTACCATATCTTTAATTATTACTGTAGCCATATAATGCCATAAGATAAATCCCCTACGTTCTGCACAATCTGAACGCATAAAATACCATATAATTGATTTTAGACTGGAAACACCCCAAGCCATACAAAACCATATTTGGGGGGGGGGGGTAAAATTTTTTTGGACCCCCCAAATTCAAATTCTCAAGTAGCATAGTTACTTGATAAACCATGACTTACTCTTTTAGGCAAGTTCACTTTTATCTCTGGTTTCATGATTTATTAATAAAATTCACAGCTGTCATGTTTATCGTAATTAGCATATTTTTGTAACCCTCCTCTAATCGTACAATATAATTTATGTGTCTGATTTCATGAAATGAGAAGACATATTCTATTCTAAATGGAAAACCAAGTTTAATGTCATTTGATTACTTAAAGGCAGTACTTGGCAATTGAAATTGGTTGAAATTACACAAAAGTCTTGACTAGTTAGTGTGAAATGTATGCTGGGAAAATAGGTGTCCATTTTTCACATGGTATTTTATGGCGTCGGTAAGAAGAGGGTTAAATTTCCAAACATAATGTTTTAACTCCAATAAGGCCATACTGATTTAATTTTATGGATGACATCCATTGGAGACCCCAAATTTAATGCGAGAGGGCGAAAAAAAAAAACCTGCAAAAAAAAAAATGCCGCTAAAACCACAGGACTACCAAGCTGGTATACAAATTACGAATTGAACTACAGAACACAGTGTATCATAAACACAACAAGAAATAAATAAATATTAGATAACAAAAAACTTACTGTGTTGTATTGAAAAAAAATTGAAGTTTCAAGTTTGTCAACAGCAACCTGGAAATTAACTTCTTTGACATTCAAACTACTTCTTTTAAATTGACACTTCAGATAGACTAAGTGTAGACACAAATGCTC